TGCAGACCAAAAATGCATCCATAAGACCCAGTAAACAGCGCCTATGACGGGAGGAGTCGCGGTGTCATCGACGGCTTCTATGTTGACAGAGGGCGTGGCTACTTCGACGCGGTCGTGACGCGCCCGTGACGTAGTCTCCCCAAGCCAGACCAATCGAAGTAATACAATCGTTCCTTCGTATTAACCCGTGACGCCGGATTGAACAGGTCAGTAATGACCCGGCGAGCGACTCGCGGTGCTCGCGTCTCCGTCGTTTTGACACCCTGTCATCTAAGCTGTGGTGTCTGGATTGCTGAATCCCACCATAACCAGAGGTGCGTTCTTGCTAATTCTAATACTAGCAAACACCTGAATTCACAGAGTTGATGTCGTACCCCCTGGTGTGCCATTGGTTGCAATTCGCTGCCACCAAAGCAGCACAGCCCAGGACTGCTGGATTCTGGAACACCGCAAGGTATGTATCAGCCAGCCCGTAAATACCTTTGATCATGAATTTATAGAATCTACAGGTAAATCCTGCATTCCTCTAGAACCATGGCCTGAGATGGCCTCCGCCGCAAGAAGCATTTTCCCTTCCTCGTTCAGAACCATATTCTGATGCGTTTGTTTCCATTCCATCGTCCATGTATTTGGTATCTCTACAGCAGCTGAGACTGAATGACAAAAAGCAACTTGGCATACTTTTGAAAGACCACATTCGCCATTCGGTGGTCACGAGTCTCCCGCACATCAACAACCACTGCTTCGCTTCCTTCCGCACCTTCTTTCGTGATTCCATCGAAAACAGTTCACCAGCCACGTCAGCTCTCCCCAGCTTCGATGCGTCGTTCCGTGGAAACTCCTAGCATTGTTAATCTACCAGCATCGAGCGCCGACGCGGAGGACACGTCATTGGATTCCTTATACAAAAAGGAGACCTCAGGCCGCAGCAGAGCTAATTTTGGTTGCGGCAGTGCATAGTACTAATAACGTACACTACTAGTCGCCGGCACTTCCACACAATACATGCAATATGCTTGACGGCGTCTAGTCTCCGACTCCGGTGACTCCAGTCCGACATACTTCCCGCACCACGACCAAACGTCTAGTACCCTGAACACTGACCCCAGGTGGATATCTACCCTGCTCGCAGCAACGATTGAACAAAAAACAAGTGTAAACGTACAGTCAGTGCCTTAAGCAATCTGCAGGGTCTCCGACTGACGCTGATGAGGTTACATAGAATCTGGAATCTGCATGTATGCTAATCAGCGTCTTTGGCATCACACAGCAAGCTATCTATACTAACAATAAATTGTATAGGCAATACCAGCTTTTCAGCTGCAGTCTGGACTAACTGTCTGAAGTTCGAACTTGCAGGTACTTAGGATTGCTCTTTCATTCTTTTTGCATCTCACTGATACGTCGCTTGGACAAAAGCTATAGAGTTATTGAAGTGAAGCTACGAGGGGCTGACATCCCCTACCCCGTCTCCTACTTACACACTCGAATATCCGTACGCATGCTCATAGAAACGCATGACCACGCGCTCGAACCAATCTTTCACTTATGAATCTCAGACGAATCGCTTTCAACTGCTCTTCATCGCCAAAACAGCAGACGACGAGAAATTATGTGTCAAGTTTGTTCATACCTTACTTACCAGTAGTGGGAAGGTGAATAGTATTCACTGGATGATCTACTCGCAAGAAATGGCCGCTGAGCACCAAGCGTCCATGTACTATAAAATAAGTAAACATTATAGCACTATTATCAACATAGTAATCGACATGCACATGCACACCCAACCTCAGCTAAACACTCAACAATCAACATCCTCCCCCATAATCTTCGCAACCAACTCATTCCCTTCACACACAGGCGCCTCATACACAGCAAACGCCGCACGTTTCCCATCCCCGCCCTCCTCGCTCTTCCATCCCTTCTTCCGATTCGTAAACACAGCCTCGCTCCGATCGAGCAACATATCGAGGTCTTCGTCGGATAAGACGCGCTTTTTACCCTCCACAGACGTATTGGTCACCACGTCGATTTTCTCTCCTTCAAGCTTCAAAAGGTCAGCGGCGAGCTCTGTCATGGACTGCATGGCTGGTGCTCCAGATTGTCCAGGGAGTTTAAATTTCCCTGCAATGCCAAACACTAAGCTTCAAAACGCCATACACTTCCCAAGGTTGAGACGTAGAACCTACCCTTGGCAATAACAAGCGCCTCAAGTTTCCTCTTCTCCGTAGCCCGATGCATAATCCTCGTCTCAACAGTATGTGCCGTAACAAGCCTGAACACCAAAACAGGTTTCGTCTGACCGATCCGATGTGCGCGGTCTTGAGCTTGAATGTCTATCTGTGGGTTCCAGTCTTGATCGTAGAAGATGACGGTGTCAGCTGCTGTTAGGTTAATGCCTAGCCCGCCTGCGCGTGTGCTGAGGAGGAAGAGCTTTGGAGCGTTGGGGGAGGGGTTGGGTTGTTGGAATTTGTTCATTTGTTCGCGGCGTTCCAGGGGGGCTGTTGAGCCATCGATGCGGCATATCGACCAGCCTTTCAGTTCTGTAGCCCAGTCCTGTAACGAGGGCTTGAGCACGACGGCGCTCCCCAAAAAAACAGACGAGACGAACCTCAAGGACGTCCAGCATAGTGGTAAATTGACTGAATAACAAGACCTTGTGTTTCCTGCGGAACAGTTCGTCTAGCAACCGATCAAGGATCATCATTTTCCCACTCGCATCAACCAGCTGCTCATCGAGCACAAGCTCCTGCGTCCCTGGTACGATAGGCCAGTTGAACAAAAATGGGTGCGAGCAGACCTTGCGTAGCTGCATCACAGCGTTCTGAAGTTTCATATTATTAATCTGCTTGCCTATTTTTGATTGTCAGTCAAAATAAAAGGCGGAGAAAGATAAAAGACACCAACGAGTCGCAAGCTGCTGATGCTGTTTCCCCAGCTCAGAAACATCCTCCATCGACCCCTTGACCTTCGCTACTCCCCCGTCCTCGAGCATCTCAAAATACTCATCATCATCTCCATCACAGTCATACCGTCGCTTTTTCTGCTTCCGAAGCTTCATCGGCGCATCCAGATCCACCGTCTCGACTTTCTCGGCTGGTGCGTCTTTGGAGACGCCAAGGAGGAAGCTGCGTAATGATCCGTCCAAGATATTATCGTACAAGTCGCGTTGACGCATGCTTAGCGGTGCATATAAGACATATTCCTTCTTTGGCGGGAGGAGGCCTTCGACATCCGCCTTGAGCCGTCGCAGAAGGAAAGGTTTCAAGATCCCATGAAGAGTTCCAATCAACTGAGATGACTGCTCGTGAGAGAGACGAGATTGCATCGTTCCGAGGTTGAACCTAACTTTACTGTGAGCCCAAGCACCGACGCTGCGAGAAAAGCGATGACATACCATTCCTGGAACGTATCCAGGTCGTCGAAAATATCAGGTAATATAAAATTCAACAAAGACCACAGCTCTGCCAAATTATTCTGCGGTGCATATGTAATCTTAACATCACTGGAGGCTAAAGATGCTCACATGTAATGGTGTTCCAGTCAAAATCATCCTACCAGCGCTTGGGTATTTCTTAATCTCCTGCATGAGCTTACAGTCGAGGTTTTTCAACCTATGCCCCTCATCTACAACGATGTAACCCCAGTTGTATGCGGAAAGATGTATGCGGTCTTTGAGAATCATTTCATAGGTGGTGATGACAACTGGGAACGAAGCCCGGGTCTGTGGAGGGAGGGTATCGCTTGTGATGGGTATATGGGTATCGTCTTCGATTTCCGAGGTATCTTCGCCTTCGTCTGCATATATGCTGTCTTCCTCATTCGTGGATGTCTTGCGCCTTTTGGCGAGTCTGCTCGTTGATTTACGCTTCGGCGCAGGAGCTTTGCGGGCGGGCGGTTTGCGAGGGGGTGCTTTCTTGCCTTTTCCCTTTTCATTGCGTTGCTTCTTGACCATGACGTCTTCGTCGGTCAGTTCTGAAGCGTCCGGTGCTCGCATGATGGTTCGGCGGAGGTCAGCACGCTCGGCTGGAGTGCCGTGATACATGACAACGGGTATCTAAAGGATGGTTCAGCTACATTCGAACGAAGGGGGTACTCGAAAACTTACAGCAGGCGCAAATTTCTGAAATTCCTCTATCCAGTTATGCAGGACACTCAGGGGGCAGACGATCAGGAAGGGCTGGTAATGGCCCAGCCCGCGTAGGTGTGCATTGAACGCGATGGTTTGCAGAGTCTACAAAGTTTATCTGTTAAAACCTAATGCAAAAGAAAAATCAGTCACATACCTTGCCTAGACCCATCTCATCCGCTACAACACGTACCTGAGAACCCCAAACGCGTGAATTAGAAATCAAGTACTTACCAAGAATCCCAGAAACACCATTCTTATCCAAACTAACCATCCACTCCACGCCCTCCAGCTGATAATCCTTCAACGTCGCTCCAGTAACCAACGCAGGCTGAGGGAACTTCGGACGTGGGCTATTCTCCCCCTCCCCCTCAACCACACTAACCTCCGCAATCTGTTGCTTCACTGGAAGTACCTCTTCCTCGTCTGATTCCTCGACGCGTGTGCGTTTCTTGCCCCGCTTTGGAAGACGTTTTCGTGTAGACTCGGGTTTTGATTTGGAAGGTGCAGCAGCTTGCATAGCTGCTCGGAGTGCCAGCGCGCGTTTTTCCTTGTCCATCTGGTCTCCTAGGAGTTTAGAGTAGGTGAATGATTTTTCGAGGAGGCGTTCGAGCCTAGCAAAGCGTTCTCGGAATTCCTGTTATAAGAAATTGGTCAGAACGCATAGGAACTATAGTCTAAGATCGAAATGACCGGCGTACCTCATCTTCTATGGACTCAACTATCTCTGAAGACTACCATACAAAACGTCAGTCAAAAGGAGTGGAGTATACTAGGTTGTTCAACCCACCTCGCGTGTACCAGTACTCTTCCCCGGTCTAATTAATAGTTCTTCTTCACTCGGGGGAGGTGAAGAAGCTGCTGTGCTCGCTTGAGCAGACGACATTGCGAAAGCCATTTGGGACGATGGTGATGGACTTGAAGACATTGCCCTCAGTTATCTAAATAAGATTGAGAAGGTAGACGGTGGATGTAGTTTGTTGCGCTTGGACCGCGACCAATAAATTACAATTGTGACGGTCTTGGATTACATCATCAACGCGACACACCCGGCCCTAAACCACTCTTACCACAGCATGACCACAGCTGTACTTGCACGAAATTCATCACGGAAGCTGTCTGGGGAAATCGCTCCTTGAGGGAAGTTTGATTGCTAAGTAGAGGAGTGATTCAGCTTCTTTGCGATGTCAATCAGAGAGAGATCTTTCTTGGCGTGCTAACGTCTGTTGCAGGACGAAGCTGAACGCGACAAGGACCGAGACGAGGACTGGGTTCAGACATAGGAGGTGGGTGAGGCTTGCAACGAGTACTGCATAGGTCTGCTCATGCTTCCTTATTTATCACTCACAATCAAGCTATCAGATCTTCAGACTCATAACAAACCACAAAGCGGCGCCAAACGCCCTTTCATTTCCCAGTGAGTACTACTACCACCATCACTCCAACACAGGTACAAACACCCATCCAAATGCCCTGACCTCACTCCCCTTCGTCCCCAAATACCTCTCCGTCTCATACAGCCAATTCACCGTCCCAGCAATACAATCACGTAACCCCTTCACATACCGTCTCGTATCATCGTTCATTGCAAGATCCACACACGCATCGAACAAATGCTCATTAGCCAAGAACGCGTCCGCGCTCTGCTTTACGAGCGTGCCCACATGTATGAGTGCACTTCCAAAGGAACAATTCCGTTCTTTCATGAGGACGGAGACGATATTGGGACGTGAAGTTGTTGTTACGCCTTTTGCACAAGATAGAGCATCCTAGAATAGACGTCAGTATGCAGTAATTTGATATACAATATACCTACCTCCGACCATGTCATGATATTACACGCCTGGTCTGTTAGCTGCTTCAGTATGCGGTGCGACGATGCACGCTCCGGGAGATTCAATCCCCCCGCATACTCTATCAAGTGAAACATCATCCTAAAACCTGACGCATCCCTTCGAAGGTCGACATAGGTCTCGAGGTCCGGGATACAAATGTAATCCAGCAAACGCTGGTTTGCATCGTGATATGCACGCATGGATCGATGAAAACGCATGTACCATGCCGGGCTTTTATATGCAACGCGACTGAGCCTGTCAGATATCCTTCAACACACCATGAGCCAAGTCAAAAAACTAGACAATCCGAGGACTCACAGGTCAAAAACTTGCTTTCCATCCCCAGCACCATCCTCCTGCGAATACACCAACAAGCTTAAAAAATCCGCCGTCAACCTCAACTGAGATAAATCCGCGCCAGGATAACACAAAGCAGCCCACAGTCCAACTTTGAGTCCTCTCCACTCGAGCCGCAATCCTACGTCGCGCAGCCATGCCTCGGACGCTTGAGAAACAGACCTGCAATGTCTGTTTGCGCGTAATTCAAACGAAGTACACGAGGATAGGATATCTGGGAGCTGGACGCTCACTGTGTGTGACTGGGAACAGGGAGTTGGAGACATCGCGTTGTGGGTCCTTGTTGAACAAGAGCTTGGCGCTAATATTTAAAAGGAGCGACGGGCGTAATGTTCCGACACCAGCGCTAGTTTATATTATCCGTTGGCTGCATGTCCGTTCTCCATCCGATGGGGCATCGACAAGTGAATAGGATGGAAGAAGACCATTGTTCGACTTTTGTAGGTATTTCATTGTCCAACCTGACAAATTCAGAGTCGAACAGGCCTCTCGCCAACGGCCACTTTACCACGCATACTATTACTGTAAAGAATGCCGCATTCAACACTTCCCCCTGTACACCAACTTCGTGAATACTTAGTAGCAGCAAAAAGCTGTGTACTCAGTGTCTCGACTCTCGTCAGGGCTACATAGTATGCAACGATGGACATTCGATTTACATGACTGGGAGCGGACTTCAACCAGACTCTATCAAGATTCTAGATTATATGGGTGAAAGATAAAGCTTATGTAAATACCCACCTCACTTGGGTATATCCAGGTCATGTTCTTAATAAGCTTGTTATTTTCAAAATAAGTAATTCTCTGCTATATCTTTCCTCTCGAGGATATCGAAGCTAGCAGTTCTATTATATCCGACCCCTCCTATAACTCGCATCGACTTTCCGAGTCATGACCTACTCCCACAAGTCACAAATACTATTTCTGGATCTTGAGCTATGTATCCAAGTATTTGAGATTTTCTCTATTCCAAGATTTCTATTGCTCAAGCGGCAGTGAAATTTGTTCAGAAGCAAGCAGATTGATCAACTCGGCAAGAAACCACTAGTAAGTCACGCGTCGTGCCATCAACCATACTGCACCAATGCGAAAGCAGAAACACCGCTCACTGTAGTTCACTGTAGTTCACCGTGCTTGTCAGGTAAACACACCTGCACCTTCTACCACGCCAGTGAGCCAGTCATGTGGTTAAATCCAGGATGCAAACTATTCATACTCACTCCGACCTGGTCAACCTGGTCATTAAAGATGCCTACCCACTCGCATTTCGAGCCAGGGCAGCAGGTTATCCACGTGCAATAAGTGGGGCAATAACGACCACTGCTGTCAGCGTCACTGGGGCTGCCAACGGGACTGGCAGATATTGAATCTATCACAGCAGCAACGACGGCGAGGACGAAGGAGAAACGCATCCTTTGTGATGATGCGATAGGTGATCAAATAAATCTGAAGGGAACGGTAGGCAGACGGCTTGCTTTTATATGCTAAATAGCATTGTGCTGGCAGAACTCCGTGGCGATGGGGGAAGAACTTATCTTACAGAAACATAATTGATCCTTCCTCGCATGATCCTAAGATCTTGTAAACTTAGTTCACGCACGGTTATACGGACGGTCCAATCGTAGCTTAGTTCGCGACGTGACTACTAGTACTAATTACCAAACCCCCTTATCGCCTCCGATAGGGTAAGAGTCTTGTTTGAGATTCGAGATCACTGCATGCATTGACAGGCATAACACATTATGTGTGCGAGGTTACACGAGATTCGTCAGTGAGAATATTTCTGAGGGGGGGGAGGGGAGGTGCTGAAGACGGCTCGCATTTACACCCTGAAAAAATCGTGTTGTGGGCAGGACTCAAACGTTCTGCTCACATGCCAGCAAGAATCTAGGCAAAACCTACTAGCTAGTAGAATAAGTTGACGGTCGGCGGACGAACAAACTATAGAAATAAACAGAGCCTGAGTGACAGAGATGCATATTGTAGGAAAGGTCGAGAGTTCCGCCCGACGGAACCTACTCCACTCGTTAATCACCATTGGAATGTCATGCCATACTTCAAGTCCAAACGGAATCTACTACTATAACGGTCTCAGTTCCAGACGCAATTCCTTTCCCTTGGAAACCCGTTCGCTCAACAAGTTGTGCACTCTTGTCCTCACGAACTTGATTAAACGGTTACAGTACGTACTTATTTATCAATCGTACTCCAGTTGTCAAAGTCGTGTGAGCCGCAAAGTCCCAGAACGCCGCATATTCAGATCGCCCAATCATTTACCAGTCTAGCAGTGCATACGATACCGTCAATCAAAGACAGACACAAACACCCATCCAAACGCCCTAGCTCCCCAAATACATCTCCATCTCATACAGCCAATTCACAGCGCCCGCAATACAATTTCTCAACCCCCTCACATACCGTCTTTATCATCGTTCATTGCAGTATCCACGCAGCGAAGAAATGCTCAGAAGAAAGAAACGCCTCCGCGCTCTGCTTCACAAGCGTGCCCACATATGCGAATGCAATCGCAAAGGAATGATTCCGTTTTTTTTTTCACGAGGACAGAGACGATATTGGGATGGGAAATTGCTGTGACGCCTTTTGCACAAGATAGAGCATCCTAGAATAGACTTAAGCATGCAATAATATTACACGCCTGGTCTGTTAGCTGCTTCAGTACGTATGGGTACAATGATGCACGCTCCGGGAGGTTCAATCCCCCCGCATACTCTAATAAGTGAAACATCATCCTAAATCTGGACGCGTCCCTGCTTCGAGATCCGGGATGCAGATGTAATCCAGCAAACACTACCTTGTATCATGATATGCGTGCATGGATCGATGAAAACACATGTATCACGCCGGGCTTTTATAGGCGACGTGGCTGAGGCTGTCAGATATATTTCAACCCATCATGTCGACCAGGTCAACCACCGCAGACAATTCAATGACTCACAGATCAAAAACTTGCTTTCCATCCCAGGACTTGTTGAGTTGCGACTCAGAAATGAACAAGTCCGAGTGCAGCCATTCATCACCAAAACTTCAAAAATCTGATATTAGGGGAGCTCACAGCAGTGCTGTCCACAATATTGAATATGATTGACTATTATTCGGATTATATTCAAATACTCTGAATATAATACCCAGGCCCTGTATTCCCAGTCATGAGGAATATGGGTGACTATGTTACGATACATTATGAATACAATACATTACGGTCACTGTATTTATCCATATTCTGAATACCTACAGTTGAACATTGGTGGCCCAGGAACATGAACGAAGAGACAGGTTGACCACGTACAATGTGAAGTTTGAACTGTACAGTTTATCTATAAATTTCCCACACACCAAAATTCAGCAGAATCGGAAACATGCTGCGACTTTTGCACTTCAAATCAAAAACATGGCCATATCTGGCAGCCGCAGCACTGATCAGCTTCTCGCCGACCTTCAAAATGCAATCACAGGCCTGCCATTGACTGTGCCAGAAGGAACAGAGGATAGCCCTCTTGCCACACATCTTTGCGATTTTGATGTTGATGAGGAAGAGGGGCCATTTTACTCTTTTAATTGCTCATGGGAATGGGCATTTCAATGTAATGATGACGAGAAAAAGAAGCTCATTGTACGTGGCGAGTATGGACTGAAGCTTGCACACAGCTTTGCATCACACTTTGCTTGAGTTCCTGGGATCGAGGTAAATGATGGCCTTACTCTCCTACAAGCTCGGATAGAGACATTGTTAAATCTAATCTACGAAGTGTAAACATACTACCATTGTTCACTTGGGCTGAGCTGTCACTGACTTAGAATTGTTCTATCAGAGTTCCAACACTTCGGAAGACTGCTGTTACAAGCAAAGCAGCTGCCGGCAGCATGCAAACCCAATTAGCAAAAGAGGCCCAAAACAAAGGCACAACGAGCTCCGAGAAACTCATACTCAGGATTAAGAGGCCACGACAAGAAGGTAAGTGCGTCTTTTATATAGTGTTAGTATATTCAAATATTTGCTAGATAGTGACAAGGATGATCGTGACTACCAGCCTCCAAAGAATCATCCAACTTCAGACATTGATGACTCAACTGACGAAGATGTGGTAAGTTATTTATAAAATCACACTTCTACTAACAGAAATGAAATCCACAGCCTGGAAAGGGACAAGCAGCGAAAAAGAAGGTGATATGAGTATAACAATACCGTCTTGTAGTTTGCTAACATGTCCATAGCGTACTACGACAAAAGATGGTGATACATCTGTAGACGAAGAAGTGGAGGACATGAAGGTCAAATCAGGCTGTGCTCCAACAAAATTAAAGTGGGCCTTAGAGCAGTATGATGAACCCAAGCTTGCAGCACATGATGGGAAGCTGATCTGGAAATGGCACTGCCACTGGTGCAGGTGAGGGCTATCCTTTCCAAATAATAGATTAATATGGCAACTAAAGTGTTGCAGCACGATCCGAAGATCCCCACGAATGTTCAAATGCAAATCTTATGCCAACGAGACCATGAAGCTGACAAAAACGAGTAACTTCATCTCCCATCCTGCCCGCGGCTGTAAGAACATCTCAGCTGACCACTCGTATGACACATGGGTGGAACAGCAGAATGGTAATAATAATTCCCGTGCTGTGTTGGGGTCCACAGCCCAGTGAGACTTCATTCAGGCATACATGAAGTGAGGTTTTGACAACCCAGCCCAGCAAGTGACACAGAGGGGCTGGAGAGAGCACTACGTCAAGGGCATCTTAGAAGATGATCTGCCTTTTTCATTGGGCGAAAGAGGGGGTATGACGAAAACCTTCACATATATCTTACCTCGCGGATACAAAATTCCATCACATCAGACCGTTCGGTGTGATCTTGACCGGCTAGAACTGAAGATGAACAAAAAGGTCAACAATTTACTCCAGGTTGTACATTCCGAGCCTTACATCTGTTGCGAGTCTCATTGTTTTACTTTCAGGAAAACTCGTCTCAGATTGGCCTCTCGAGTGATGTCTGGATGAGTAAAAATTCTGTGTATGCCTTTGTTGGGTCTGTTGCATTCTGGATTGACGACAACTGGGACCTACATGCTTGTCCAATCGAGCTACTCCTGCTTGATGGAAATCACTCTGGTAAAGCAACAGGTTGTGTTCTTTTCAAGGCACTGCAGGCACGTAAAATTACATGGAAACTCAGTATGTACAGCAATCATACCATACCATTCTATTCTCACAATCAACATAGTTGCTCATGCCACCGATAACATGGCCAGCAATACAGTCTTGAATGAGAATCTCGTAAAGCGGCTCGGCAATAAAAATGTGTTCCTGAATCGAGCCAACTTGCATATTGGGTGTGCTGCCCATGTCATCAACCTTGTTGTGCAGTGAGTAGTGAAAGTAATAATTTCTCTCAATGTGGCTCACCAAATCTGTCGTCTATTAGAGCTATGCACCATAAAATTGGCTGTGCACCCGACCCTGACGAAGATGATCTCTACTTGGTTGCCTGCCAGTTCCCACTCACCTATGACCCTGAAGACGACCCGGAAGTTCAGGAAGAAACAGCAAAGATGAACGAGGAATTAGCAAAGGGGGTTCATGTAGAGGGATCAGATACAAACATGGATGCTGTCTCTGGTGCGAGTGACACTGAATCCGAGACTGACAGACAGGATGGAGACAACACAGATTCTGATGCCTCTGAGTCTGGACTTCCCACAGGCTCCAAGAGCAAAAAGACATCAAAGACGGCTCATAAGAAGACAAAGAAGTTCAGTGTTATCGATAAAGTAAGTCATACCTTGTTTAATGCTCATTCATTATCTGACTTGTAATGTGCACAGCTTCATGCCATTGTGATCGACTCCCTTGCATCTGAAGTCCGACGTAAACGGATGCGTCATCTCATTCGGAAAAACTGTTCTAAGGAAAATCAACATCTTGTTCCCATTCGCAGCATGCCCATACGTTGGAACACAACTCGTGCAGAGATTGAGCGGTCTATGAAACTCAAACTGGTGCGTACATTTGTTTGTACTTGTTCGCTTCTGAGTCTTTTGATACATCACGCAGGCAATTAACCTTTGGGTTGAACATCTTGATGACGGTCTCACTGGAAAGAAAAGGAACATGGCAGTACGAAAGAAAAAGAAATGGTGTCTCAGCTTACTCGACTGGGAGTTTTTGGGACGGTATTCTGACATCCTCGAGGTATTTAGTCACAGCGACTCTCCCATCTATTGTGCACTTCTTGTACTGATGACAATTGTGAAGGTATTTCATACTTTGACACTGTCTTTACAGAAGAAAGGAGTCCCCACAATCTGCCAAACACTCCCACTCTACAAGCAGATGGAGAAACACCTCGAGACACACCTCAAGCAAGTTCCAAAGAAGTGGTGAGTGTACGGACTGACACAGGCTTTGCAAGCTGGCCTCGACAAGCTTCAGCACCACATGGCCAAGGCATTAGAATCTGATTACCCTCTGCTCGGTGGTGGTAAGTACTTTTTTTCGTCTTACATTAGCAGGTCACCGAGCTGATATTATGTATACTAGTTTTGCATCCATGCATACGAGTTGCATACTTCGAAGACCAGAACCTATGGCCCACCGGCAATCTCGGCAGTTGTGCTCACGTCTTGCTTGAGCATCTTTACGAGACTTATATGACCGAGCGCCATCAAAGTCTGCCCTCATTGCAGCTTTGACCATGTCTTGCAGTGGTTCCTCTACAGTCCAGAATGAGGTAGACGTCTATCTAAGCGGTCTCTACCCTTGTCCACCCGAACAAATGACCAATCCCCTTCAATGGTGGAAGGTGAGTACACTTCTCATATAATTCCTACTGAAAATGTCTCACTGTAGTCTTCGCAGCAACATGAGATGACATTTCATATCCTGTCGCGCATTGCTCGTGATGTCCTCGCTATACCCGCTGTCAGTGTTGCCATTGAACGTCTGTTTTCCAGTAGCAAACACACACTTTCCGATTCACTCTCCTTGATGACTGCGGAGACTGCTTCTGCCACTGTCATTACCAAGGAATTGTTGAAGCTTGGCCTCGGCGATGGAATTCAGTACATTGATGGTGTTTCTATTCATTAAATATGAATAGATATGAATACCTATGAATACAATATGAATACAATAACACTATCATTAAATATCTCAGGGTGGATTGAGAATATAATATGGTTACAATAAAATATGCCCTCAAGATTATTTTATTCATATTTGGACAGCACTGGCTCACAGTAGGTCGCTTCTGCTTCTGCTTTTGCTTCTGCTGACACGTGAGGGACAAGGGTTAGTGGTGTGTTATGTAAGCACTTAACTCCCCCACCATACTACACATGCCTCGCAGCTCGCTACATCAGCAATACTTAGAATCCTATATCTTTTTCATGATCATTCAAGCACTCTTTTGACCTGCACAGACACTCGAAGACCTTTCACGAGAGCTTACTATAGATATAAATTGCATATCAGCCATACAACAAGCTTGCTACCTGAATTCTCGCCCTCTGAAAGTGAGTTTATGCGAGCGGGGACGAACAAGGAGCTGGTAAGAATATATACTAAGGGTATGTTAGCTCGTTATAAGTAAATGGAAATAATAATGACTTACATCTCAGTCTCGAGATACTCAACTGAGATGTTCTAACGCGGTACTCAATACCTTATAGTAGTTAGCATAGTGATACAAATAAATGGTAGCATAGGTAATATATTGTTAAGTCTCGGCCGACATCACCTCGTCACTTGTCACATAGACTGGTTGTGCTCGCAATGTTTCACTCTGACGTCTCATTTCCTCCTCCGGGTCCGTGCCTCGAAACGTCACCACTCAACACTCCTGTCCTTAAATTCTGCAGTCTACACCTTGCATGGGAATGGGCACAGAGTCCAGCTGACCACCACCGCTTTGTCAATATGTTGCAAGTCTCTCCAGAGGTATTTCAAGCTATTCTAGGATTCATCGAGGACCACCCAGTCTTTCATAACAACTCAAACCAAGCCCAGGAGTCAGTGGAGGTTCAGTTAGGTGTGACACTGTACCAGATGGGGCGGTATGGAAACGGTGCTTCACTAGAAGACATAGCCCAGACTGCAGGGTGCTCTGAAGGTGCTGTTGAGAAGTACACTGAGCATTGCTTCCAAAACGATTCAAGTTTGCTCTTGACACAGTCACTGGTTGCTGTCGGATCAATCTCATAGCACTCTGGTAGGACAATAGCACCAATCCGTTTATAAATGCTGGCCTTTGTCTTGCCAGATGTGTTCTGATGGCTCCGTGAATCAGTACTAGTGACTCAGATATCCGTGCTCACCTCATGTTGATCTTTTTTACCAAACAAGACCTTGTAATTTGCCTTTGCGCTGATTTCCACAATGAGTTTCCACACATGCGAGTGCTCGTTCTCGTTCCAGTGAATGTTGGGTAGATTCTGTGTCTTCTTCAATTTAGCCATGCAAGAGTATAAAGTAGAGTACAATGCGACTTAGCGCACTCCAAGTGCGATGGCCAGAAATGGTATATTCAATTTAGTTTTTATTTATTTTGCTGTATATGTGAAAATATCGATTTATTATGGATGCAGAAGCGACCTACTGTGAGCTCCCCTATTGCCTGATTAGTAGGTTGTTGTGAGAATTTTGTTTGCATCACGGGTGGCATTAGCTGCACACACAACATCAGATGAAAACAATGCTTGATCATAATGCTAAGACATGCTTGCACCATTTCGCTACTTGTATCAATATGCCATTCACATGCTATTCACCTGTATGACTGCCATTGAAATGCTAAGGTAGCTGTAAGTCTGATGATGATATGATATACAGTGGCTCAAAAAACTGTCCACATATTTTCACATTTTTCACTGTCTATGATATTGTGTGAGAATGTACAAACACATCAAGGACATGCTGGTACCATATTGGAGTACTACTTCAGGGCTTCCAATTGAGCCATATGGCGTGGGAATCGGCCAAGATATGGTGGACATATGAGGCTTACAAAATGATGACTCATGCGGACAGTTTTTTGACTCAAATATTTTACAGTGATAATCAGGTATTCTAGTACATTGTGTGACCTCCCTTGGCTTTAATTACTGCCTCTATCCTTCTAGGCATACTCTCAATCAATTTCTGGAAATATTCTGCTGTAATCCTTGCTCATTCCACTGCTACTCTCTCCCATAGCTCCTATACTACTTTAGGGGGGGTTTCATAGGCTTGAAGCTTCTTCTTGAGTGTTCCCCAGAAATGTTCAATGACATTGACATCAGGGGACTGTGCTGGTCAGTCAAGAACATTGATATTATGTTCTTTAAACCATTGTCTGGCTCTTCTAGATGTGTGCTGGGGATCATTATCCTGTTGGGAAATGATGTCTTTTTCATCAATCCCTAATTCAGCTATGCTAGACAGCAAGTGGTCATTTAGAATGTCCACATACTGCTCAGCATCCATCCTCCCCTCAACTTCAGCAAGTATATCCACACCATTCCATCCCATACAGCCCCGTACCATTAGAGAACCTCCTCCAAATTTGACAGTCTCACTAACCTCTCTGTCTGTTAGAAAATCCCTCTTCTTTTTCCACACATATACCTTCCCATCTGACCCAATCCTATTGATTTTGGTCTCATCTGACCATATAACATGCTTCCAGTCCTCTACAGTCCAGTTTTGATGGGCCAAGCCAAAGGTAGTCTTCTCTGTCTATGTTTGATAGACAGAAGAGGCATTTCTTCTTTATTACTGCCTTGAGATGAACTGCCTTGAGAACATTCCTCACAGTTTGTGAAGAGACAGTGGTGGTGATGGTGGAATTGATATAATGGGTGGCTTGGACGGCATCATTAGCCTTTCCTGTAGTGATATGTTGGATGATAGCCCTCTTATTAGCAGAGGTGGACGTCCTCCACAAGAGTTTTCCTTGTCCAGATGGCTTTCTTTGATACACTTGGCCACAGTAGACTTGCATACTTCAGTTCTAGAGAAAATTTGATGAGCAGAGAGGCCAGCATAGGACAAAGAGAGGATATTATCCCTTTGAGCAGAGGAGATGGCTTTCATGGTGATTATGACTATGACACATAAGACATTCTGGTTTATATAGTTAGATATGGTTTTAAGAGTATGTCTAGAAGGATAGAGGCTGTAATTAAAGCCAAGGGAGGTCACACAATGTACTAGAATACCTGATTATCACTGTAAAATATTTGAGTCAAAAAACTGTGTCACAAATCCCAAATACGAACCATTTTTCATTTCTCAGTTTTCCTTCAGCTACTTCCAATACCCGAGGCGGTCACGTGACTCCTCGTCATATATCACCTGATGCTTCTCTGATTGGCTCCCCTACTCCACGGGCTAGAACAATCTCGCTTCCTAAAGAAGAATCAGTCAGATCTTGGGTTTCTATTTAGTAACTGTCTTACTCATTCACTTATATATCATGATGTCATACTTAGTCATCCGCAGTATCGTACGACTCTTTTCTCATTGGCTGATTTCTTTCAGACTCCTATTCAATGTTATGTATAAAAAGTAGGTTAGTTAGCATAAGTACTCCTTAGACTTAACCTCTTCGTTTCCTACTGTTGTAGTGACTTAGACGTTCACGCTCAATCCTATCATTGTTCATCATCTTTGATCGAGTCCTAGTGGTTGTGTACTCACCTTCATCATTATTGGTGAACGTTGGTCATAACATTAGGTTAAGTCTATCTTACCACTCCAACTCGAACTTTGTCTTGGACGTCACCGTTCTCGACAAACTTCACTGTGCTATTCTGCTGAGATTTATCTCGCGGATTACGTTTAATTCAATCATCATTCCCTGACGTGTTTTGATTATCTCAATCTCTTTACGTTAGTCTTTAGTAGAAGTGAACCAAAACCTCGTCTTACTACGAGCCGCCAGTTCATAAGGATCAGTGACACTTAGGTCCTGTTTCCGCACGTCTGCAGTTAGGCCCAAAACCCTGCCAACTGTATGCTACAATATCTGCTTTCTACGTAACAGAACGGCACTCGCGACAGTCCTCTCACTGTCTAAATACTTTACGATAGGAACCTAGGGTGCTAAAAGTAGACCCAAAAGTTCACCGCGTCTTTCACGAACTCCTCTCGAGTTCATCTAGGTTGACGAACCGCTACATGCGCTGCATTCGCACCTTTGTCATCATTGCTCCGCCATACAGATCCCGCCTAGTCGAGGCTAGGGCTTTCGCGCTTCACAACAACGTTTCCTGTTTGGATTCCCATTGCTCCTTCTTCCATGTCCGAGAATCTAGGAGAGCCTGGGATCAACATTTCAGAGGATATAGAAGTGATGACGGCTCCCACAGCGATACCGCCAGTAGCCACTCCATCAAGGAGTGCAATTCATTCTCCCCTGCTGCAGGGATGGCTCCCATCATTCGCATCTGTAGAATCATCCACCACCCCAACCGAAGGCCCTTCTGTACTGCACGGCATCTCCGGGCCCGGGTCAACTACCATCACCCACAAGGGCATTTCGGACGCAATCAACGCCGTCGTCACCGAAGAAAGGTTTTACAACAGACGGTTGATAGATTGCCTACAGGAGCAGATCAACACTCTCAATGACGGCTTAGTAGCAGCCAACGACGAGAACCAGCACCTGAGGATCAGGGTGACATTCCTGGAGAACTCCATAGGAATTGCAGAGGACAACATCACAGCTTTGCAGAACTCGTCTACAATGAAGATCCCAGGCTCTATATCTGGGACTTCAGGCTCTGATATCAAGATGGCGAAACCAATGGACTTCACAGGGGAAAAGAACTCCATTGACGTCGACACTTTCCTCACCCAGCTCGCAATCTATTTCATAGGATACCCTGGAGCAATGGAGCAGCAAAAGTGTACCTGTCTCGTTTCCTTCTGCCGAGGAGCCGCAGCCAAGTGGGCAGAGAGTGTCACACCTATGGTGCTCAGCGGCCATCCCGGGTCCTACGACAGCATCGTCAAGGACATGAAGGTCATGTGGACCATCGTCAACAAGGAGGAGAAGGCAGCAAGAGAGTTGGAAGCTCTCTGACAAGGCAATCGTACAGTTGGAGAATATATCTCCCTCTTCCATCAGAAGCTCGCCTTCTGTCACTTCTCCGACTACGAGTTACAGTGGCTCAAAAAACTGTCCACATGTTTGTGCTATTTTCACTATTTACATTATTATATATGAATGGACAGGTAGACCAAGGTTATGCTAGTGGGGTACTCTGTAGTACTCCCTTGGGGCGTGAATTTGAGCCCTTGCCCGTGGGAATCCATGGTAATGTGGTGGCACTATAGGCCTTACAAAATGATGACTCATGTGGACAGTTTTTTGACCCTAGATTAAAATTATATAAATCATTAGTTATGACACCATAAAGTCATGCCACTATTAAATAAATTATGAAGTGGTTTCATTATGACATTATTAAACCTATTGCTAAGTATATAATGAAGTGTGTCCCATATATCATAGTCATAATCACCATGAAAACCATCTCCTCTCCTCAAAGGGATAATATCCTTTCTCTGTCTACTACTGGCCTCTCTACTCATCAAATAGCCTCTAGAACTGGTGTATGCAAGTCTACTGTAGCTAAGCTCATCAAAGAATGTCACCCAGACAAGGAAAACTCCAGTGGAGGTTGTCCATCCAAACTCACCTCTACTGATAGGAGGGTCATTATCCAACATATCACCACAGGAAAGGCTGATAATGCTGTCCAAGTCACTCATCATATCAATTCCATCATCCCTACTCCAGTTTCTTCACAAACAGTGAGGAATGTCCTCAAGGAAGCCAATCTTAGGGCTGTAACAAAGAAGAAAAAGCCTCTTCTTTCCATCACTCATAGGAAGAGAAGACTAACCTTTGCCCTAGCCCATCAAAACTGGACTGTAGAGGACTGGAAGCGGGTCATATGGTCTGATGAGACTAAAATCAATAGAATTGGGTCAGATGCGAAGGTATATGTGTGGAAAAAGAAGGGGGGCCCTCTTACAGACAGAGAGATTAATGGAACTCTCAAGTTTGGAGGAGGTTCTCTAATGGTATGGGGATGTATGGGGTGGAATAGTGTGGGAATGCTTGCAGAAGTTGAGGGGAGGATGGATGCTGAGCAGTATGTGGACATCCTCAACCACCACTTGCTGCCTAGCATGGCAGAATCAGGAATTGATGAAGAAGATATTATTTTTCAACAGGATAATGATCCCAAGCATACATGCAGAAGAGCCAGAGAATGGTTTGAAGAGCACAATATTCACCTCCTTGACTGGCCAGCACAATCCCCTGATGTCAATGTCATTGAACATCTCTGGGGAGTACTCAAGAAGAAGCTTTTAGCCTATGAACACCCTCCTAAAGGAGTATGGGAGTTATGGGAGAGAGTTACAGTGGAGTGGGGGAAAATTACAGCAGAGGATTGTCAGAAGT